GACCCTTAACAGGGAGCTCGCTCTTAACAAGGAGCTCGGACTAAGTACAGCGGTCTGGAGTTCAGGCTCGGTAGTGAGCTTGGACTTGCTTCCGATGTTCGCTTTGGGCGCTCTACTGTCCCGAGCTGCTTGCCTTTGCCACGTGTCGGGCGATCGCGAGGTCGGGCCAAATTTCCCTTCATCAGAAGCCATCTCATTTGCTATTAGAAATCAGGAAACCAGTCTCTTGCTTATAGTGCAGCTTTGGATGAATTCCTCGAAAATTAAACCATGTGGCTGATAATTTAGCTAAGGGCCTATTTGTTTCCTTTTAACTCTTATCTCTTAAGAGAAATCTTTTAACTTTAAGAGAATAGTGGTTGTTTGTTTCCTCTTATCTCCTATCTCTTAAAGTGCAATCATACAATTTTTTGTTTTCCCATGATATTTGATAATTTTCTAAATTCAGAATTCAGAACAACATTCTCTGCATTCAGAGTTTAGAGGAAAGAAAAGTTTACTAATACCAATATACCTCTTAATGTAATTATTATACTTTCAGATGTCAGACTTCAAAGTAAACGAACAGGCCCTAAATCTGGGCTAGAAAAGGATTTTTTGTATAGTGATCATACTTTGCTAATATAGTGGGCTTTCTCTTTTGTTTTTTGGATGACAGTGCTTTGTACATCTCTCTCCTTTTTTGATCTTATCTTTTCTCAAAAAAGTCATTATTATATATAATTAATAGATTTAAATTATACATGTATATGCCAAAAGTAAATAGTTTTTGAAAGTTTTATTTATTTATTTTTTGTCATTTTAAGCATCATAAGATGGATGCATATCAAGTCCGAATGTGATCCAAGTATGCCATAGATTGAATTCAAATCCAAGATAATCAGAATGGACCGGATATTGAAGTATAGTATAAATAAATTAGATAAAAATAGGGTAAATTACAAAGATCACCTTGTACTATGAAGTCAGTGATAAATGCCCCCTGAACCTTCATTTGTGACAAATACCTCCTTAAATGTTCACTTTGCAACAAAAACCCTTGACCGCAGTCACGTGATAGGATATATTAAATTACCAAAATGTCCACCTAAACTTCATTTATTTCTTTTTTCTTGCCCTTTTTTTCTAAACCCTAATTGACCAAAATTACCTCCATTTTCTCTAAAAGAAACCAACTAAAATAATAAGAATCATTTCATCGACATAGAATATTTTTTTTTTATTCTTGATTCATTTCACTCACATGAATGTCTCTCTAAATCTTAAAATATAATAATGATCCAAATCATTTTCTAATAAATCAAGAGAAAACAAACAAAAACATAATTTACATCTATTAAAAAGAAACTTATACCATTTCATTTAAATATTGACTTTGGCCAAAAATCTACAAGGATCTATTGGAGAAAGCGGGAGGGCTTCAATGTTATTTAGAAAACTAATCTTTTCATAAATCATTACTTTTATTTTCATAAAAAAAAATGACAGAAAACACCACCATCTAAGCCTTGTCCCATCTATCTATATTGGGCCGATTACATGAATCCTGTTTCGCCATTCTTTTATATATAGTCAAAAATTAATGATAGATAAAATAATTAATACACACTTTAAAAAAACAGAAAGCTCACCGGTCTTTGGATCTAATGAATGAGAGTCTAACAAGATTGGTTTGTATGATGGCAGGTGGTAAGCATGTTTACAAATAAATATTAATCATATATGGCATATGGTATTTGGATTTAACATTTATGACTTATATTAGAATCAAGGCAAATATATGCTTTATATAGTATAGATAGATGAATTTATATATGGGTCTGGTCTCATAGATTTCCATGTTTTTTTCACATGAATTAAAAACACATTAACTTTCTTTTTTTTTTTAATTTCAGAAAGCACCCACAAGGCATATTTTTCAAAATGTATAAAAATACTTGAGTATTTCAAAGAAAAAAAGTTTTAATATATAGGATAAAAATAAGGGGTAGTTTATTTTGCATATATTTTTATTTTATTAATTTATTTATATATGAGACAGATATGACACTTCGGTTGTGTTTGGTTGTAGTACAATACTTCTTTCTAATACAAAATTCATACTTATTGTCTCATTTGCATTCACTAACAATGTAAATTTTGCATCTCAAAAACTGATGCAAAATTTGCACCATCTTCCTCCTACCTCAATTCTCTCTCATATAAAGTGGGGACTACAATACCACATCATCTTGCTTCCTATCTCACTCCCAAACAAACAACCTCTTCCTATCTCCATTCTCTTGTGGGAATGATAATGGGTCCAACCAAGCTTAACAACACCTATAATAAGGGCTATAGCTTGGGCCTAAGCCCAACCCGGATCATACCAAGCTTTGAGCCTAAATCACTAATTAAACTAAGTTTTATATAATATATATTATCTTATAATATTATATATTATATTTATCATTTATAATATTTATATGGGAAAATCTATGTTGCCAAAAATACATGGTACCAAAAGAGCTTGACCAGTCAATCCTCGGTAAATTTTGATAAGTTCCACCTGATTGGTTACAACTTTTATATGATGCCAATTCAATGGTTAAAGGATTTTCCAATGTCATGTCTTTCGGTATCAAAGATAGAATTCTATTTATAGACATAATATAATATAAAGCATGCATATAACTATATATAACTAATATATATATATATATATATACACATAATATATTAGGAGCTGGGATTGAAGTATTAGGTCCAGACCTGGCCCTAAAATTACCGGCCTAATGTGGGCCCAGGCCGAGCTATGCTTAAACATCAAAACCTAATTCCAAGCCTAGAATTTTTTAAGTTAGGTTGAAAATTAATGATCATCTCTATTTTCTTGCATATAAGATTGGACCACACCATCTTACTTCCTAATTTTCTTTTCACAAACAAATAAGACAATATCAAATCTAAAACAAAAATAAACCATAATTTATATTTGTCTTATTTGCACTCCCATGCATTACAACCAAATGTAGCTTTTTTTGGAAGAATGACCGATCAACCCACATCAGAATTTTATAACCTCAAAGTACAGAAGAATTCACGGGCAGGATGTGGTTTATATGTATCCGTACTTGTCCGTTTTTTTTTTCGTGATAATAAACCAAATGTAGCCTTTAATCGTTTAATTTAGTGAAGAAATCAATATTATGCAAGAATCTTCCACGTCTAGTGCTCCTCTTTCTGAGTTTGCGTTCGGGTTCACGGAATGCGTGAACCCGCGAATGAGAGACGACCACGTCATCTGGGCGAAAACATGTTAATGTTAACGGGCTTTGGCCGTTAATTGAAGTATACGGTTGAACCGGCACAAAACGACAAAAAGCTGATTAAAACCCTTTTCAATTCGAAGCCTCCCTCCCATTTTCTCTTTTCTCCCCCATCGAATCCTCCTACCCCACACATCAGTGAGAACAACCACACCGGCCATCGTCCTTCCGCTGCAAGAGCTCCAGCTGTACGTTATTTGGCCTTCTCCTCCTCCTCCTTCTCACAAAGGTCTTCCAGGTTTTCTATTTTCAACAGACGGAAGGTGACCCGAACCTCACCTGGGTTTCCAAATATTTCATTTTTCTGGTGATCAATATTTCCAGTGATCAACATTTCATTTTGCTGGTAAATGGTCAGAGTAATGAAAGAAGCAAGCGTCACTCTAGGGGGAGAGGTGGGCTTAAAGAAGATGAGAGGAATTGTCGTTCATGAGAGTTTTTGCTACGAAAAAGAAACCCAGCTTACGGTGCGCAAGACCTCTCTTTTCTTCGCCGGCGATGGGTTCTTCTTTTACGACTGCAGGTGAGGTTCTCTTCCATGTCGAATCCTACGTTCCCGATGTCTGAGACAAAGATGAAGTTATTCTCATGGATGCCTCCGGCAAGTGTCTCCTCATCGTTGGAAGAAAGGTCGGTCTAATAATCTCTCTCTCTCTCAAATGAGTCAACTCGCCGAATTCTTATGAAACATAAACATTAGAATAACAAATACCTTGTCAATGAGTAGAAGAATCTCTTGGCATTATTGGGTAGCTTCTTCTTGATTGAAATCCAAATTTCTAATTTAGCAAATGAAATTCCTACTATGTGACTCGGTGGTGTTTTGGACGATCTGAGTCAACCCAAAAAATTTTATCAACTAATTATGTATTTGCCCTTTATCAGAGGCCGAGTTTGCATCAAAGATGTAAGGGATTCTTGGGCGAGAGAATCGAAGGAGACAAGCCCATCTTCTGCGGACGGAGATCGTCGATCATCGGACGGTGGAGTGTATTCGGAAACCCAGGGGAAGAGTACATTATCGATGGTTTTTTCCCGCAGCGGTGCGGTTCAGGTCACCTTCGATAGTTGAAAACATAAAACAAGGAAGACCTTTGTAAGAGAAAAAGAAGAAGAGGAGGAGGAGGAGGATGTTAGAGAACGTACTGCCAGAGCTCTCGTCGCCGATGGACAACGGCCGGTGTCGGCGGTGTGGTGTGCTGTACCCATCCTTGGATCTTTAACTGGGCTCGGCACAAAGTAGGGCCACGGGGAAGACCCAAATCCTTGATTTTAAAGATGCCTTCAGGAAAGCCCAAACCAGAGATCGTAGAAGAATCCAAATAGACATAAGCCTGCATTATTCTCCTTTTTGGGAACTCTAAGCAGTGAGGTCAATGAAAATTTGGCTTCAAAACCGAAGTAGATAATTTGCCCTTGAAGACCACAAGCAAATTATAGTCTCTTTCTTTTGTTGATAAACAAACACCCAGATGATAAACCAGACTTTGCCGTTGTTGGACCAAACAACTTACCCATTTCTCCAAAAGAGAAATCCTTTCTAGCATTCAAATATTCAAATCTAAATTAAACAAAATTATTTTTTTGGGGATGAATTATTCGAAACTCAAACAACCAAAAGTCAGAACTTCCTACAAGTAAGTTTTTTTTTTTTTGGGTTGGCATACAAGTGAGAGAGTTAAGGAAAAAGTAGATCATCTCAATATAAGAGTTTATCCCCTTTATAAAAGAAAAAAAAATGGTTCCTATGTTCTCCGTGTACTCAGGCTGGGCTATGATCCACTTCCCTTTGGCCCAAAGAACTCATAGCCCCCTTTAACATTCAGATCAAAAAGTGAGGAACCCTCATCGCCCTCAATCATATTTTCTTTATTTTTTGCTTCCCCTACCTCTTGGTAAAGCTGGAAACTTGAACGCTGAATGTTACTATCATGGTTATCATTCAATAAATTCTTCCTCATCATTTCACCCTTCCTCTCGTCTTCCCTCAATTTGGTCATGAAACCTGAAGGAGATAAATCAGTGAGTTGGGATCCCGTGGCTTCTAATCTCCTAGGACACTTCCTATCAGTGGACAGGCTCTTCTGGGCTTTCTCTAATATGGCTTGTAGATACTTCCCTTGTGCTTCAATTCTCTTCTGTAGTTTCTTCTGTACCTGAATGCATAAAATGCTTGGAAATTATAGAAGAGAACTCTAGGATAGATTGAAGCTTAAATAAAATCAAACTTCAATAGAAGCTGGTTTACCTCAATTTGCTCTTGCAGTCTTCTCTGGACCTCAATCTGATACCTCAATGTCTCTGCTATTTTTCTCTCTCTGTTACGTACATAAAGGGAATGGATTAGCTTAGAGGTGCTCAGATGCAATTCTTTTCGTATATTTTTTATGAAAATTTATGGAGGGACTGTACGTACTCTTGATTGTTCTGTGTGGGGGCACTGCTGCTTATAACAGAAGAATCCATGTGGTTATGCCCATCTGCCTTTCCTGTAAACCAAAGAAGCACTTATTAGTTAGAAGAAAGAAAAAGGTACTACAGTATACACATGAGTCCAATATGCACCATTTCGGACCAAATCTAACTGATGACTCATCCAAGATAAAAAAGAAGCTTCACCAAAAACCATATTTAATATAGGTTGGGCTTAAACTCGATGACCCAACTTGTTAATGTCGACTGAAAGTCTAAAACCAAACCCACCGTGGGTCGAAATCGAATGGTTCAATTCTGCAATTACCTTCCTTCCATGACATCGTTTCTTTCAACCCAAATGAAACCTTAAAAAGTCTTGCTTGGACATGAAACCAATGTTCTCTATTTCTTTTTCTCTTGGAGTGGCTGTAAATTAAAAGCCTTAAAAGCCATTGACAATTGGGTAAAGAAAGAAATAGAAATAGTTATGAATTAATGAAGAACATGCACTCACCGTCACTAACACTACTTTTGCTTCTTGATTCTAAGTTAGCTTCCTTCTTCGCTTGCTTTCCAAGTCTATACTTCTGAACCCACCAAAAATGAAGCATGAGTGATGAATCTTTCAACTCATATAACTTGTAAGTGTAAACTGTGAAAGCATGCAGGACAACATATAATACAAATTGGAATATTGCTTTTGCTTATAACCTGTAAATGGCTCTTCAGATGGTACAACGTCAATCCCTTCAGGCCCATCACTCTCAGTACTGACTTAGGAGTTGCTTCTGTAAATTAATTTATAATATATATATATATATATATAAATAAGCTGCCAGCTGAACTGGTATGAACTGAACCACTACTGGTTCTAAGTTCTAGCCACAGACTTCACTCAGTCACACAGCTAATTAATTCAAATAATTAAACCTATAGCTATAAGAATAACTTACTATCCGGTCCACCGAGCTTGGTCACCGCATCAACAAACCGGTCGTGAAGATCAGGCGTCCATCTCAGGCGGGACTTAGGATCCCTCGACAGCACCACCCCCACCGCCACCCCCGTCTCGTACGAATAGCTTCCACACCTCCTCTCCATTTCATCACCACCACTTCCGCCACCGCCACTCCAAACCCACAAATTGACTTGCACAGACAGCAACTATGACGCCTTGGGCTTTTTTCTCTAAATCCTTGTTGTTTAAAAACCTTTATTCGACTTCTCCTTCATACTTCACAAACCTTTTGCTTTCCTTGCTGCATGCCTGCAACTCCCCATTTCCTTCATTACGGAGAGAGAAAAAGAAGAAAGACAACAAAAAAAATAAAAAAATAAAAAGAAAATTGTTAGAGAATGTCGAAAAGCAAAAGCTGGCAAAGTAACGTTCGGGTCCACCTTCATTCGATAGTACCGTGAAAAGTCTCCGATTCGAATTCTCACTCTTTATCTACAGTTCTCTCTCCTTCAATGGATAATGCATCAAAAGATTAAAGTGTATGGAGGGATCGAGATATAAAGGAGATCAGAGTGATTTGTGTACAGAAGAAGCTGTTGATTTGTCGGAGCTAGGAAGCTTGTAAAGCGGAAGCATTCTTGTCTGTAACAAAAGCTACCACCTCTTGGAATCAAAACAGATACTTTTGGTTGTTGAACTGTCTGGGAGATTTTGATCCCCAAAAAGAAAGATTTGATAATGACTTGGAATGTTATCTGAATTGAAGTTGGTTTTTGATTACTGGATAACGATCTTACCGCGCGACAAAATGGAAGAATGAAACAAAGAAAGAGTTATAATTAGCTAGAAAAGAAGCAGATATCAGAGGCCAGACTGAGTAACAGAGACTCGGATCAAGGCTTAATGAAGCTTTCTTTAAAGGGTTTTTAAGTTTGAATGGAGATGGTCAGATAGAGAAAAAAATTCCAAAAAAAAAAAAAAAAGGAGACCAAGATTCCCTAAACGAGAGAACATGGAGGGAGGGGAGCTGGGAAGAGGAATAAAGAAGGAAAAGTCAAAAGATGAGGGAAAAGAAATTCCGGAAAAATTTTCTTCAACGAGACAATGAGTGAGAGGTGCCACGTGAATGCCAGCATGGAAGATTCGCCGGCAATGGCAAGAGTGTAATGGGCCCACAACAAGCGACACGTCTCGGCTTCTCCGCAGCAGACGGGAGGCGTTGGTGAAGGGAGAATATTCGCTCGGCCCGAAGGCTGTGCTGACTGCTAAGTGCTGATGGAGCTCTCCGTGAAGACCTCTCCTCTGTTCCCTCTCTTCAGTGTTGTCTTTGTTTGTTTTTTAGTTATTTTTAATCAGTCATGGTACACGATCCTCTGGTGAAAAGGGTATCAGGCCATAGCTTACCACGTGTCAACAGTGGAGTATACCTAACCTACCTTTATATTGTAGAGAGGGTTCCACTCTGCCAGTAGGTAAATCCAAAATTCTCAAGTACTTCTTATGTACGTAGAGGATTAGCAAATCCATATCTATCACTTAGTGCTTTGGCTTTTACTGAATAAGTTATTCCTCAAACAGCCAAAAATTTCCCTTAACAAATAAAGCAGAAATAGAAATATATGGTGGGGAGGGCCAAGTATTTAAAAATTAAAAATAGAAAATTTATTAAAATAAAAAAAAAATCTAAATTAAGCATCTTAGGGCCTGTTTGGCAAATCTTTTTGAAAAGATCTTTTGGTAGATCTGACAGTCAAAAGACGTATTGAGATTTTGCATGAAGATCTGAGCAACCTGAAGCTAATTTGGCAGATACATGCCTTTTCATGTGTCTTTCAGTGTCTTTTCGTATAAGAATAAAACGCGAAAAACACGAAAAACTTCTCTTGGAGCTTTACGAAATCAGCCCAAAATGGGCTTTTTGCGTCTTTTCGATACTCTAGCTTTTGGTGGTTAGATCTTCTGCGAACCAAAGGGGAATAGATTAAAAATCGGTCTACCCAATTTGTAAACAATAAAAAAACCACATGGAAAGACATGCCAAACAGGCCCTTAATCTTTTACAATAAAGTCTCATAAATCTCAAGGTACAAACATGTCTCCTCATATAAATCTTCTTAATTTTCTCTATTAAAATCTATTATTACTCTTCTTTAATATTATTCATTCTGAAATCTCTCTCCCTTTCATTACTTCAATAATACTTCATGTTTATAGCATCTTTCCTCCCCCATTAAATCCCTCTATTACTTTTTTAGTATATTTGAATTCCTTCTACCCTCTCTAATAAAACATGGGTGGAGTTTAGATGGATTGGATAGTCTTAAAGGCCAAACCAAGATCAATGAACTTTGGCCTAGAACCAAAGTAATGTTAAAACCCAAATTTATCAATCCAAACCTAACCAAATTATACATTGGCATGGATTTACTTGCTAGTGCATATAAAGAAGAACAAATACAAAGTTAGGGCAGCTTTATTAGAGAACCTAGGTATATATGCCTAATCGGATGGCAGAATGCTGCTTGATGAGCACAATATTTACAGTCATGAATTAAGGAGCATTAGTTTTCGAATTAAGCATATAATTGGCAATCACTTTAATTGGAATTAATCACCTTCAAGGACAATGGGAGACATCGATCAGACATGTGCATGGATTGAGACAGAATGCATGAGCATCTACTTCAAGAATGGATGAGCAATGTGGAATAAATAAAGATGGAGCTACAAGGAACCCAATTCGTTGTCCCAACAAGCATGTAAAACATGTAGAATAACAGCAGGAATGGAATCCTGCACTGGTTTTGGCAACTCTTTATCACACATGCGTGCGCGTTAAGTAGAGCTCAAATCAGATTTCCTGCCCATTATTCTCTATTCACACTATCCATCGTAAATTGTAGTTATACATCGCCATCTTGAGTGAGCAATTGAACCCATTTGTCTTCTAAAATTCTTAAGAGGTTATTCACAATTTATGCTAGAAAAATCTTTTTTTACAAAATTGAGCCGTTCAAATAAAAATTGTGGGGTCAATTCAAAATACATAAAAGTTTGTCCCACTAAATTAAAATAAAGCTACCAACTCCATAGAAGCATGGGGTAATAATGCCTCTTGCAATTTCAAAGAGAGAGAAATAAAATAAAATGAAATCTTAAAGAAAAGCGATGATTAATAAAAAACATTTATACATTGATGCTTTTCTTTTCTTGAGTTTCGGCTTTGCACCCTTTTATTTTATATTTCCAAACCTCTATTTGCACTGTACATATTTTGTATTTTGTATTCCTTCTGAAACTTAATTTTGGTTTCACCCGTTGACAAAAATTCCCAACTAGGCAATTGCTTGAAAGTTGAAAGACAATTATAATTCTGATTACCCAGTATTTATGAATATGAGGTCATTGGATAACTTCAAGGCTATTGGATATTGGATTTAATAGTGGGATTATTTAACATGTATGTAATAAATTTAAATGGTCAAAATTTCGATATCGGGTATATAATATCGTACCTTTTAGGTTTTAAAATCCAAAATCCTCTTTCTTTAATAAAAAAATATACATAAAAACCTACCTAAAAACTAAAAAAACCATAACCTCATGCTTTTTAGTACCAATACAATACTTTCAACCTTGATTAAATTTGATTTTGATTTAAGGAAGACGGAATTCTACTTGCAGACATGTCCAATTAATTCACTTCACCTCTTGTACTTTTACTTTCTCACCGTTTTGTGATAAAATGGTGATGCTGATGTGTGATTTGGAGCATTATTTTCTTAGAAAATGGTATCTTTTTTGTGTTTGGAATCGTTTCTACCAGGTAGGATGTTTTTTGGAGCAACAACTTTTTATGTTTGGTACCAATGCTCCAGGAAACATTTTTTGCACTTCTACCCATTATTCACTATCACATCACTGTCCTATTGGCAGCAACGAGCTGCAGTACCAAAAAACGTAAAATTTGGTGTTGCTCCAAGCCATACCTTCTCAATTTCCAAAACGTGGCTTAGAGTACCGTTTTCTATGAAAAAATGGTTATTTCCTAAAACACCATTTTTTCCTACATGATGCTGATGTGGCACCATTTTTTAGAGCAACAGCAACAATTCCAAATAGACTCTTAACCTTGCCTGCATATTACTTGTATATCACATTGCTTCCTTACCCAATGTAGAAGAATCATTCTTGACGTTTATGAACCATTAGACCAAAGACGGAGAATTTAGAAAATGGAGTATAATAAGGATTTACAACGTCTTTGATTGTCTTTATTTCAAAAAGAGTAGATTTACCAAATACGAGTAAATTTTAGAAAATGGCGTTTGGTAACACTGAATGGAGCTCCAAATGACGAAATTTATTTATTTTTGGTGCTTCAGGATCGGTCGGTAGTGGAGGAAAATGGTTTTTCACACATTTGGTAGCATTGAACGGACGTTGAGCTGCCTCTGAGAGCATTTGGAGGTAGCAGAGGAAAATGGTTTTCCACCCATTCCCTTTGTCGAAAAAAACCCAACTATTCATCTTCTTCGTTTTCTAACCATTAAAAAAATTGAAGGAATATGAACGACGATTAGCGGCCGATGATTGGCAACCAAAATTGCAGATTAGACTAGAGATGATGAGTTTATGATGATTGGCAACTGGTAATCAAGATTGCATATTAGACTAGAGACGATGAGCTTCCGATGACTGGTGATCGACAACCACCAACCAAAAACGTAGTAGACTGAAGATGATTGGCAACAAAAACTGTAGATTAGTTTGAAAGCGATGAGCTTTTGATGACTGGCAACCAAAAACACAGATTACAATGAAGACGATGGGATTCCAATGACTGGCAACTGACGTCTAGTTGGCAACAAAAATCGCAGATTAGATTGAAGATGGACTTTTGATGATTGGTGCCCGGTGGCTAGCAACCAAAATCATAGACGGTGGCTTTTTGCTCTGTTTCAACCTCTATCTCTGCCACCAACCTTACCATCCTTGTCTAAGAACCTCTATTTCAAGTGTCCGGAGGATGAATACAACTTCTTATTTCATTAAAATCATTTTATAGTATTTTATAAAATATTATAATAATTGTTCAATTAATATTTTATATCAATATTTTTTTATAATATTATAATTTTTTAATTTTTTGGCTTATTATTATTTAAATAACAAATTGAGGGTAGATTTGTAAAATACAACTTTTCAGATGTCATAGAATTTAGATTATCGAACAATTCCACTATATTCAGATGTCTATAAAAGCAAAAAGTAAATTTTCCATTGAATATTTTCAAAGCTTTTTTTCGAAGTTTATTTTATTTTTTTGCTTTTCAGACCTCAAATTTACCAAACTCTACCTTAGAGTCCAATCTACCAAAAGCAAAACCACTTTCTTAAAGCAGTTTGAAGATGGAGAGAAATAATCAAGCATTGTTTTAAAAACTGAGCTGGAACCAGAACTGCTTTGGCCATTGGTTTCCGGGTCAGTGGACAACGGTTCGCCTATCTGGTTTGAACAAACAACTTATTCTAATTTTATAAAAATAAAAAAAAAATTAATTAAAATAAAAATGACTAAAAACCATTGTCTAGATTGACAATTCGACCACTCTAGTTAGTGGGTCACTAATCAAGTCAACGGTTTTTGGCTTAGGAACGGTTTTAAGGTGAAACAGAACCAATTGCCTAAATGATTCCCATATCAACCAGTCCGACCATCCAGATCCGGTCTGATTTGGTTTTCAAAACCTTGTAATCAAGTATAACTTATTACATTCCTGGGTAGGATGTAACGTGAACTTCGAGGGAGATGAAAAATCATCCAGTAAAACCGTGATGGTTGGATAATTTCTTCAATTATAAACTCTTTTTTTTTTTGGTAGAAATAGGAGGAGCTACACAAGACGGGGGTAGCTCGGCCCCAAGCATCACAAAAACAAATAGAACTTAAATCTCTAGGGATAGAGGGAGGACAAAAACTGAGTG